GGGAACAGATCTGCTGTAGTGTAGCTTCATCAGCCTTTATTGTCTGGTAAACTCGGCCAACATCTCTCTGTCCGACTCTTAGTCTGCAGAGAGGATTTCACGGACGCTGCTTCCTGAAACGTTCCCAGTAATGAGTCTACGCTGCAACGACATCGTGTTCATACAGACCACAGGACTGTGGACTGACGACAAAGACTTTGTTAATGAAGTCCATGGTCGTGTGGGGGAGGGCGAACCCCAGAGGTCGGGGTCACACCCTGAACAGTTCACCAGTCCAACACTGAGGCCAAGCAGCGTAAACTCAATCTAATCTGTTACGTCTTAATCCCACTTTCACCAATAAAACTTTTTTTTGTGGGAGAAATAAGGGACTAAATTATTATTATTATTATTATTTAGTTATTATTTTACATTATTTATCTAGTGTTGCTCCACAGAAGCCGATCAAAGCTGAGCTTGAACCATTTTAAAATCTGATATAAATGACAGTTTGTCCAGTTTTAACCCATTTTCTTAAAAGAAATAAAACAGATATAAATATTCTGAGATTACTTGAGTTACTCCATGACACCTCAGTCTTAACCACATGAATGCAGTTATGTAAAAAAGGTATTCCAGTTAGCCTCCAAAACACATTCCTTCTCTCTGCAGATCTGCAGTTGGAGGAAAGAAGTGAATTTAATGAACGGGTTTAAAAGATCATCACAAAAAGATAAAACAGTCGAACCAGACACTGAAGGAAGACGGTGGTGGTTCACAGTTCTCTGGAAATACGTGTCACTTCACATTACACACTTGCCTGAGCACGCACACAGATATATATTCAAACACACACACACACATCTAGCATGTCTATAGACCTGTTGGAGGCAGGACAGATGTAAGCCATTCAGTGGAGACTGTGACACAGGTGTGCATGTAACCAGATGAATAAACACAGAGACTTTCAGCTGAAACTGTCAAACTGAACATTACACAAAGAAGCCCAGAGGACTTAGCTGTGCTCCAGTGGAGGAAGACACCAGAGGCCACGGTGTCCTTCCTCTCACTGCACCACTGTCAACCTCTCTGTTTTACCTTCTCCCCAGGAGACAGCGTCACATGTGAGGAGGCCACGTGGTAGAATCTACCCCCAGTGCCCCGCAGCACATTCTTTAATTGCGCTGTAAAAGCAGTTCTGGTGTTAATCATTCAGCAGATTAAAGAGGCAGCGTGTTCACGGCCCGGCGTTTAATGATTTATGCACACGTCTCTTTAATGTACACGATGTCGTCCAGACCAACAGCAGAGAGACAGACGGAGACAACGTCCGTGACGGACGTCCGGTCCTCAAATTGCAGCCGGGCTCCCGTCACTGCTCCATGTGTTCGCGGCTCTTTACAGCTGTAATCAGGTATAAACACCGAGGATGACAAGCTAACGTCAAACGTCCGACTGACCCCACCTCACAGTGAGACCCCTTCAGGCAGACAAACTGTAGTGTCTAAACAGATGGCACATTCTAGGAGCCGCCCTGACAGCGGCTGATGCTAACGTACAAAGATAACACCTGTGATTTCATGCAGGGAAGAGGATTTAGGCTCAAAACAATTATCCTCGTCAGTGGTCCTGAACTGTACCACCTCCAAAATACAAGTCAAATATATTTATACTCTTTTACACGTTCTCTATTTGCCCCACAGTAGGAGAGAGAAGACAGGACTTGTTAGTAATGTGCTTTAGTCCAGAGGTCGCCGACCTTTTTTATACCAAGGAAACATTGACTGATTATGATTTAATGAAAAAAAGTCATGTGATATGACTGGATTCTTTCTGAATAAAGTCAATTTTTAAAAACTGAAGCACATTTTTTTCAGTGTGTCCGGTACCACGTGACCTACGGACCAGCACTGGTGCCCGGACCCGGGGTTTGGAACCCCTGCTTTGGTGGAAAAACAAAGGATTGAGAACAGTTCTTCACACTCCCGCTCAGATGTTCCTGTACCTTTAAATAGTAACGACACAGCGCTGTTCTACAGGGTAAAAAACTTAAGAAGAGTTTCATGTTACCATGGCAACGGTTAAGCCTGGTCATGTTCACATTTAATCCAGAGCCAGAAGTGTAGAGTCAAGTTGACAAGAGTCCTGTCATCGAACATGCTGCAGAAAAGGGTTGGGAACCACTGGTTTAGAACACAGTTTTTTTCGTCATCTAACTAAATAACAGAACTGCTAATGACACCAGGAGACAGGAAGTCATCAGTGCCGACGGCAGCAACAAATTGTGCATGCAAACAAGAAATGTTTCCTGTTGCTCCAGTTGCACATTTCTGCGGCCTGACCCCTGCTGGAACCAATGAGGCGGCGACGTACTGTAGGAGCAACAACATCACAGGATTAACACAGAGGAGGCTGTTTTAAAATAATCATCTTCATCCTGCTGCTGCGACTGACTTCTGAATCAAACACACTGTCCACCAAAAAAAAAAAAGAAAAAAAAAAAAAGAGTGGCTGGACTAAGTAAACAGATTTCTTGGCGTCCCACGAGCCCTGGCTGCATTCAAACATTTGCCTTGTGTGATCAGGCAGACATTGTCCCTTGTTTCACCCTCACTTGGCAGTGGGTACACACACAAGGGAGGGGGAGCGGGGGGGTAAGGAGTCTGCTTTCTAGTTTCTGGCATATTCTTTCAAAGTTTGGGCACTGAGGCAGTAAACGGGCTGGACCAGACCCTGGGAGGGGATACCCTCTCCCTGCATTCCCTGAGAGGGGAAACCAAAAAAAAAAAAAATACTGCATTTATAGATAAACTCCACAAGTAGTTAAAGTCAGAGTCCAACTCCTTCATTTTTTTAATTTTTTTTTTTTAAAGTCCTGCCTCCTGAAAATATCCGTATTGTAGTTAGTTTGTTACAAGATACTACAAGAGTTTGTTTTTTTTCCATGTATGAACCTGGAAAAGTACAGACTTGCAGTGTGTCAGTTTGCTGGCAGCATGAAATGTGAGCCTCCAGGAAAAAAGAAAGTGGAAAAAGAGAAATCATATGGAACGCCGCCAGGAAAGCTTTGAACAGTGGGGAGTGTTGCAACAAGCACAGGACGTGGACATGAACGGAGCAGAGCGTGTGAGCCCAGGGACTTTGGTTTGGTTTTACTGAGGGACGAGGAACTTTATCAAAGGACACCGTTACAACCATTCATTGATTAATTCATTCAGTAATTAATTCACTCACTCATTCGTCTCGTTCAGCTCAGGAACATCAGGAACACGGGGAAAGCGGAGCCGATCCCAGCAGCCATCAGGCCAGAGTGATGTCACATTGGACAGTTCTCTGACCAATCACAGCATCACCTATAGAGATCCACAACCATTCACGCTCCACATTCACACCAACAGTAAATTAAGCGTGAACAGCTAACCTGAGCCTGCATGTTGGACACGCAAACTACACAACAGGGGGCACCTGGCGGCCCCTATGGGTGCCTGTGGGGTATGGTCTAAAAATATAACTAGTCAACAAGAGGGTCAAAAATGTGTTTGTTTTTTTGGATCAGTCACAGTGACATTCAAACTGTAGGTTCTCCTGTAGGTCCCAGACCCTGAAGCAGCAGCATTAACATCTTTTTGACTATTATTACATTTTTCTGGAAGTCTGTATCAAACAAGTAGCTCTTCTTGATATTAAGTACCATTGAAGTAGCTCTACATTTCAGAAAGGTGAGTGACACCTGCTATACAAGAACCAGGGACCAAACCAGTGATCTTCTTACTAGGAACGCCGCCCACGAGTGATTCTCCAGGACCAACTAAGGAGCGGTCCTCTCTCTCCGAGCTAAGCTAACTAAACTAAAAAGGGGAGTGGGTTTGTGTAGTCTACAGACGTCCACTCCTGTCCCCTGACGCCTCAATTATCAGGGAGCTCTTCACCGCTGAGCACAGGACAGGAAGTGAGTCGGCAGGCTGAGAGGTGAGAGAGAGTGACAGCAGGACGTATCCATGACACATACCAAGGATTAAACCAATCTGCACATTCTGCCTGGAGGATTTACCCACTCACCCTCCTCCTTCCTCCAACCCCATCTCAGCAGCCTGGAGTGGGTACAGATGTGTGATCCACAGACGCTCCCACTCTGTGGCACTTATTGGACCCACAGGACCTAAGAGAGGCTGGCAGACAGCTTGGAGAGCTTCTGGCCAGAGTGTCACTGCACACAGTCAATTGTCGGCAATTGGGTGACAGAAATAGAGGTGGTGCCGCTGAATGTTGGGTCTTGTTTCCACCTGCCATGATGGATCGGTTATTTACTGCCTTTACTTTTGGGAAAAGGAGGCACATTAACGTTCCTACAGGGGAAATCTAAAATATGGTTCATTTTTGGGGATTCAGTGGATTCTGGATTCTGTGTTCGTTCTCTGTCTGTATCACAGCTAAACAACCGGTGCATTTTTGGTCTGGAATCAATAAAAGCAAATAACTTCACCCGGCCCCGTCATCTCTACTCAGAAATGTTTTCTAGTTACAACGTGAGGGAAGCAGCAAAACACGAAAATCAAATAGAGATAGAACTAGAAATGTTTACTACTTTTGGGTTTACTACCAAAAAAAATTAAAATTTCGCTTTAAAGTGCACCACAAAGTTGTTGTACTGAGTGAGAATGAAGCAGCAACAGCAGCAACAGCAACTAGCATGGAGGCTAAAAGCTAGAAACAGAATGTAAAGACGAGTTAGTCGTCCATGACGACCAGCTTTGTTTCTGTTGTTAAAGAACCAAAGATTGACATATGGAACTTGATGAAAATTTCTTATACTCAGTTTAAATTTAAAAAAAAAGAGGTCACATGAAGATCGTTATTTTTATAGAAAATATGGAATTATTTGTTTGGTAATCGGTGTGTGGTGCGTTCTTATGAATGACTTCTTCAGTTAGTGTTTCCTACTACGTCTGCCCCAGAATTGCTGTGTCAGGCCCTGTCAGTATGCCCCCCCGACCCCACCCCCACCCTAACTGTCCTCTTACCTCTTTGACTTTCTCCCTGCGCTCGCTGGTCCTGGGGTCACTGGGGGTGCCGTTGTCTCTGCCCAGCGGCGGCTTCAGCAGACACTTTTTGAACTTCTTGTAAGAGAAAAAATCCGAGTTGGCACTTTGGTCGTAGAGGACGGCTCGGTCCGAAGCCGACTCCGTTTTGGACCTGATCAGAGTGGGATCCTCCTGTGTTTTCCCAGCAGGTAGTCTCTCCTCTGTGACCTCCTGTTGTGACACCGGGGCCCTGCGGCTTTGACTCTTCAGCTTGATGCCCGTCTCCCCCTTGGCAGAGGTCATGCCCTTCTGATGCTCCTGCTCCCTGGGTTTCTTCAGGTGCTCGCGGGCATCGTTCTCTGACCCAACAGTGACCGGCTGGGTCTCCGTCTTGGACAAGAAGATGCGCTTCAGCCGCACAGAGTCGGGCAAAAAGAAAAGGGCACCAAAGCACAGAGTGACCAAACCCGAGAGGAAAAGCAGAAAGACAAATTTCTGGGACAGGCGCAGACCCATGCCCGATGCCGACACACCGGGCAACTTTCGGAAAACCATTGAAACTTTTGTTGAGATCTGGTCTCTTATTCGAGAGTGTCAGTGACTTAGACTGAGTCTGCCCAAAAGCCCGTCTACGGCCCTGAGCATGTGTAAAAAAAAAAAGAAAAAGAAAGAAAGAAAATAAAAATTTAAAAAAAGCTAGAGAACGATTTGAAAGGCGACCAGCTGACAGTCAGAGCAGCTCCTACAGCTGTCTCATCTGGTTATCTGCTGGATCTGCATGGGCAGAGGTTAGGGCCTGTCTACAAACACACACACCAACTCTACTGCCTTCACCTACATCAGTCACTGACACCGAGGCAGATAAGCAGCAGGATGGGGGCAGAACAGAGCACATGCAGGGCTCCAGGTACGAACTGCACTGGTTCTCCACTGGTTCTTCACTGGTTCTTCACTGACGCACCGAGCGACGTCCACCACCAGAGACCAGATGATCGCAGTCTGTTAGGCCCGTGAACAAAGTTGAGTCTGGCTGCATTATTCCACGGTACGTGAACGGTCAACAACACGCTGCCAAAACCTCAGAGGTGCAGCATCTTCTCCGGTGTCTCCGCTCGAAACAAGCCGCTGACGCTCGCAGCTGCATCCCATGCTCCACAGATCACACCGGAACCAGAGGAAGAGAAACAAACCGGGAGCCGTTCTCTTTGCATCCGTGCCGTGCAGCCGGTGGAGGGAAACGCTGGCTTCGTCCGATCTATCCGTCAGTCCGCGCTCCGTCTGTGTCCTCCGGTTTCTTCTCCTCCGCTGGCGTCACAGCCGGGAGAGAAACACAGCAAATGATGGCATGAAAGAAGCAGATTTTCGTCCCGTGTCCACTTATTCGAGCCGCAGCGGTTCAAATCCGCCCGTGTGGAGCAGCACGATCGAGAGAGGCGCGTCGTCGTCGCACCGAAGCCGGTAGAGTCCCTGCCGTGTCCCCTTTATCTCCGTGTCTCCTCCTCTGTGAGGCTGTAGTGCGCACTCGTGTAGCTGTGCCGTGGAGGAAAAGCGAGAGGAGAGGGTTGGAAATGTAACATATAGAGCAGGCAGGGAGGAGGGATAGGGGAGGGGGGAGCGGGGGAGGAGGAGGAGGAGGAGGAGGAAGAGGAGGAGGAGGAGGGAGACAGACGAAACGGTCCGCTGATCTACCTTAGTGAGTTGCTCGTGTTTCTGATGGATCTCTACGGTGTCGTATCAGAAGGTTCTCCACCGTCAAACGCCAGGGTCGGTCACAAAGTTCTAAAAGAGAAGTTCTCATTTCAGAATTGTCCGTTTTTGATCATTAAATCGTTAAAAACATTTCATCACGTTTCATCATTACACTGTCGTGTTCTATTCGATCAACTTTTCTTTTTAAATTCATACATAAACACAATTTTAAAGACTGTTCATTGAACATTATGTTTTAACCACATTTGACCAAAAAACCTTTCACGTTATTTAACGAGAATCAATAACAATTTATTATTATTATTTATTATATGTAGGTATAAGTAAGTAAAAGTAGATAAAATATCTCATCAGGTAGAACGTTTGCTAAAATAGCTGAATATTAGCTTTAAAAAAACTAATGGTTCTTTAAAATATATGTCGACATCAAACAGCAGAAGAAATGGACCAAATATTCACTTTGATAGATTTGATGATATGTTGATGTAAAGCCAGTGTGTAGTTACTGTGTGTTCACATTCACACTTTTCTTTCTGGAACTTTCATGTCAATATGTCCACTTCAGTGAATGGAGTTTGTTCAGTTGCCACGGAGACTGAACAGTTGTCGTGCTACATCTACTGCTGCCTTTCATGTTCATCTCCATCACTGGTCAAAAGATTCAATCTGTTTCTTCACTGGTTCACATGGTGGACTCTGATCAGGTGACTCAAGCCGTGGTCTAACTCCAGTCTCATGTACGTGTCAGTATCACGGCGGTTCCCGATGTGGACTGATATACTGTAATCAACCCTCCTCTCCGTCCTGGACCTGGGGCAACAGTTGCCCTGAGTCATATTGCCAGTGTGACTGAGGTGTACTGAGGAACAGGGAGTTTATAAACTGTATTTACACAAAGTTTGCATTAGCAGTACAGAAACTTGACTGTTAAATAAGACAGATGAGCCCGTGGGTCGGGCCATTACCAAAGAGCCCATGCAGCACTATTCAACTATTGCACCTTAAAGCAGAAGAGAGAGGAACGGGGAACGTCTGATTGCTTTCTGTATTGGCCTTTAATTGTAAATCAACCCGCAGCGCCCCCTCTCTTAACGAAGGCCTTGTGTGGTCTCTCAGGGACCACGGTGTCGCCGCGTCGCCTCCGGACGGTCTCAGAATCGATGTGTTCTGTGTAGATCATCAGTGTCGGCAGCGGATCTGACATTGTGTGTAATGAACCTGAAACACACACTGTCCTCCCTCCTCCCTTTATCTCCCTCCTCCCTTTATCTCCCCCTCCCTCCTCCCTTTATCTCCCCCTCCGTCGCTGGAAGAATCTCCAGGCTGCTTCACCTTCTTTGTTTTCTTTCATGCAAAAAGGCAAAGCCGACTTCGACAACTTCCTGTCAAAGCCTCCACCCACACCGGGGATAAGCTCATATTGTGGAGCGTGAAACCCTATGGGCTGCTGCCTTATCATGTGGGCTACATCTGGTAGAGAGAGTTAATTTCTTTGCAGTAATTTGCACTGCATTTGACCCGACATTTTTACTAGCGGGTGAATCTCTCAGTGCAGCTCTAACTGACTCAGACAGAAACAAGGCGTAGACACAAGTGAATTAGTCCACATCGTCTGTGACTCAAGAGCTTTTCTTCTGGAACGACGTAGATCTACAGATGGTGTCCAGGCGGCCATCGTGGAGAAGGAACAGCACGCGGTCTGACGTCAGAGCTTTGTGATGTCTCAGCTTGTCCTTCCATCTGGGGTCACCATGGATGTGGTCCACATAGTGATTCACCCTCCTGCCCCCCCAACCCCCGCCCTCTGGTGTTAGGCTGTCAGTCCTGCCATTTGGTATTTCTCGACATCAGTGTTAATTTTGTCGAACTGTTAATTTACGTCAAAGACTTAGTCGGCGACCTTTTCTAAAATGAAAACAAAAACAGAACTAAACAGGAAGTAGTGTGGGGCTAAATGACGATGACNNNNCATTACAAAACTAATAAATAAATAAATAAACACAAGATAAAAAAAAAAAAAGTGAAATATTGTAACTACGTGTTTAGTACTACGGGTACATGAAAGTATAATTTTAATGTTAGCGAAAACAAACGAAAGAAAAGAACGACTGATTACATGAGAAATTTTGAAACATCATCTGCATACGGCATAATCCTCAGAGTCACATAAAGGTAAACAAACTGAATATAGATTAATAAATTAACTGTAACAAAGTCAAATTTGTCACAGTCTCTCGTCAACATTTTAATACAACTATATATCTTTATGTATATGTTAAAGAATAATATAATCCTGTGTAATGTGTTAATATGATGAGTAATGATGTTAAATATCACACACTGCCTTTTTATTCCACTAAATCTATTCAGGTTGGCATTTTTTTTCTAACTTCATTTAGGATTAACGAGGACTAGGATTGATGGGGATTAGAATTTATTACAAACAAGAACTCAGAGGTGTTAGAGTTCACACCGTTCAGTCTAGTATTGACCAGAGTGACACGGTGAAACAGGCCTGAAGATTGAAGATGGACATACAGGTAATGTCCAGTCAAACAAAATACCCAGAGTCCCCCTGAGAGAAGACCAAAAACCTAATAAAGCCATCAGGTCAGTGTTTCTCAGAAGGCCAGGTTATACATGAGTCCAGTTGTCGGGCTCGCATGAAACTGCGTCTGCCGGTGACAGGCTAGTTTATCACTGGGATGAATGAGGAAGGCAATACAGTCTCACTGCTACAACGGGCAGAGCTGAAGAGACGCAGAGACATTTCTCACTGCAAATAAATGGTTTATTCAGATAAATGGGATCTGCAAAAGGCCATTTCTTATATCGTTTGCATTCCCTGCCGCCACCGCTGAAACCAACTAACGTCAGGACGTGCAGTAAATGATTTTTGCAGCACAGACGTCATGTGAGGTGACTGCTGACTCCCCTGTAATGCACCACTATCACCGCACACATGCAGCATCTCAATCCCTTTTTTGTTCCGGGACACAGTGGGTTTAAAAGGTACCAGCTGTATGCTCGACTGCTGCTGGTGTGAAATCATTTTCGGGGGGGTCTTAACAAGGAGGCTGCCTTTAAGCCGGGCTCCGTGTGCAGAGGCACTCACAGGTTTTTAAGTGGACAGTAATTCTACAAACACATACGGACGTTAGGGAATTAAAAGTGTTCCGGGCTCTTCCCCTAATTGGCATTGATCGTAAACTAAGGCCAGATGTTCTGTCACAAAGTCTCTGCTTCTATGGCAGGGAGTCGAACCTATATCAGAGTCTGACATCGTGGTCCTGTCTTAATACAACTTAAAATGTCATTAAAAGTACAATGTGTTTTCAAAATGACACAAAATGTCCATCACATGAAAACAGCAGCACTAGTGTCATTCCCTTTTCTGACTGTAGGAGGAGGAAGTCCATCCATTTATTTATTCTCTTCTAAGTCTGAAAGGTCACTGTTTCTTTTCTTCTACCCTGAAACACTCTAGCGCCCCCCCCTCAGGGTAGATGGAGCTCACACTCTAAAAACTACTGTTCTAAACAACAAGGTCAAATGGTGGCTAGTGGAGGTTGATTTTTTTTTCTTCCTTCTTCGTACGTGTGTTGGTTTAATGAGCACCTTCACCACACCCACCCTGACCTTTGACTCCTTGTAATATATACCTGTACACACCTGTTCTAGAACACAAACACCAGACTCACTGACTCACTGAGAGCAAAGATGGGGCAGATAAGACTGATAAAAACACAGGTGTATTGCTTAACAACCATTCCAAACATAAGGCACGCGTGGGAGTACGGGGACGTCCGTCCTAACATGCAGAATCGAGGCCTAAAGCGTTCACCAAAGAGCACAGAGAGAAAATACAGATTAATCAGATAATTACAAACCTATTTCGTTCTGCGCAGACATTTCTGGACATGTTCACAGCAGCTTGTTCTGCAGAAAGTGTTTTGAAGACCTAAAATACTTTTTGCCGAGTCTTGCACTCTGTGCTCCATAATCTATAACCACATCTGCCCTTAAACGTATTGAAAGATTCAATTCTTCCCCCAACCTGCGCTGATGTTTTATTCATCAACTGAAATGCCAATGAAAAACTCCATCTCTGCGTCCTGTTCATTTTAATACATCAAACACTGGGCAGAGATGGATGGCTCCATGTCAGTGTGCTCAGATTAATAACGCCGCCAGGCTCTTCGTGTTCTGTAAAGGGCTGCAGAGAACCTCCTCATGTCACTGGGAACCACGGCTGAAGGGCTGCGACCCTGGGGGCAGGACAGCGGGGGCAGCTACACTGTCTTTGGACAAATCATGTTGTAGACACAGAGTGATATGGCTCGCCGTGACTTCTGGGTCACATGACCTGTCAATGAGGACAATCCTCAATAATAATGAAGGGCAGTTTGTACACGGCAGAATACTCCTTTAATATATTTGTATATATGTATTTTTCCTCTTGTCTGATGAAGCTCAGCGTTGATGAAAGAAAAGTTAAATGTTGAAGAAGAGGCAAAAGTCAAACGTTCTGATTTAATAATGATTTTAAAGTTGAAATTCTACGACCGAGAGTTAAAATTAAAACATATAAACGCGCAGTGCCAGTAACTCTACCACCGTATGCTGTTAAGACCAGTGGTCTCAACAGGGGGTCCACAACCCTTAGGGGGTTCATAAAGCTACTACAAAGCGTTAGGAATATTTTGTTTTGGCTGATGAGGCCTTTTTTTATTATAATTATCTTTAAATACACATCAGTATGAATTAAAGATATTCCATCCATTATTTGAAGAACTGCTGCTGTAGTTTGAGTCTTTGAATCGTAGAGTCTTTGTGTAGCCAGCTAACAAAAGAACTGGGCCACAGTTCTCTGTGATCCAAATGTGCTGGAGCGGTCGCACAAAACGCTTTATTTACGTAACTGCAGGTGGAAGAAGTATGGAAATTCCCAAGGTAAAGAATAAGTACCGAGAAATGTACTTTTATTCTGCCCCTCTGGCCTCCTACAGTACTACTGCATCTGCACAACGTCTCACTACAACACATCAGTTTCTAGGTGTGAGCGGCTGAACATTATTTTCCTGATCGATGTCCCCCTCCCTTGGCATTTTGAGCCGAGACCGGCTCAAGGCCGATTTTTTATTTGTACCAGTCCAGCGCTAGTAACGTTAAGTCAATGCCACCAGAATGTTACTACATTAACCAGTGAAAATATGACTTTATCACTTATTTGTTTGGGATTTAGTTGACAAAAAAATTGGTTTTAAATTAGCCTCGTTAAAAACTGAGCATTTTTATTAACTCAGCTTCAACTGCATCGTCATAAAAATGAATCTGACAAATCTATACAGTCATAAATTGACAACAACAGAGGATGAACACGAAATAATTGAAGAAAATAAAACAATAACCTTAAGATTTTCAATTTAATACGATGGCCCTTCAAATAAAAAAAAATCAATCCATAAATATAGGAGAACACTCCTTCAGAATTTTAATTAAAAAACATCTTGTTTGTTGCTACCAAATATGTCAGAGCTGCCTGAGCCGGAGCTGAAAATCAGAACATTGTCTTATTATTATTGTGGCGGCGGTGCAGGGCTTTCACGACAACAATTATCCATACATTAGAGGTGGTATATGGAGCATGTAAATGAGACGCAGCAGCAAAGAGACCATTAAACTGAGGGAACACAGCCAGAAAAAAAAAATCGGACCTTTTTCTCTGCCACCACAATTAGGTGACGGGGATGTTTCCAGTGTTCTGACGGTTCATACAGTCAAATTACCAGTGAGAAAGAGAAGAGCAGCGGCCACTTCACTGGAGACAGACGCTGCTTGTTAAAGGGCGGGAAATATGGATGGCTACACAGTGCCACCTATTGATTAAACGAGAGACTTCACGGTCGGATTTGACCGTTCGAAGACTAAATAATAAAGTTCTTAAACCGATAGGGGAAAAATAATTAGCCTAATAACTTTCAAGCTTTCACTATAAATCTCCGTTTAAAAAAGTGAATGTGATTTATATTAAGCACAAGCTGGCTTTATAATAAATATAATTTAATCTACAATTTAATATGAAAAATGAATAAATTAGTTAAATTTGATTTATGTTTTATCGTTTTGGACAGAATTTAGAGAATAAAGCCTGATATTTCAGCTATATCAACTAGCCTTCCTGGCTAACTTATCTCTTCTTCGTTGGTGTTTACATCAGATAATAGAATTATGTCCGTTTTTAAGTTAAGAACTTGACATTAACGTTTTGAGAATACATTAACGGCTAAACAAACGACAGATTTTTATTTCAATGTCGCATTTTTCTTACTTTTACTCACCCGTATGACTCTGGTTGAAGAACTTTGAAGACCAGATTGTGATTCGTTTCCTTCCAATTAACAACGGAGATAAAACGGAGACAATTGCACCTGTTAACGTGTCCCCGAACAACATGGATTAAAGGGATGGGGGAAAAACCGTTCCACCTCCAGGTCCACTGCCCTTTCTCAGCTCAAACATTCACTTCATAATTACAAAATATTAACAAATACATTTTTTAAATATTGTACAGTAGATATGGATATGGATATGGATATGGATATTGTAGATATCCATATTGGGGGTGGACGTAGAGTGGGGGGCACATTAAGAAGCTACTTTGAAGTAGCACCGTTAGCTATGTGTCAACTATGAAGAGACTATAACGTTATTTAAAATTACATTTTTATTTATTTTATCTTTAGTTTTATTGATATACTGTTTAATGTAAAAACAGTGTCAGTTTGAATACTTTAATACAGAAATATTTGTTTCCTATTATCAACAGTGCCACCTATTGTATATAACACCGCCGTAGTTTATGGCATATATACTGAAAATATACAATTTAATAAATTCACACGTGTCAGTGCGTAAAAAATATTTTCAAACAAGTAGTTATTTCACTGAAAATATACAATTTTTAAAAATATTCACAGGTGCTAGTGTGTAAAAAATACTTTAAAAAACAAGTAGTTATTTAAAAAAATCCAGATCATAAGAAATGACAACACCAGTACACAGATACTTTTAATAAAGTAAAACTTTAATTTCATATATATAGTGTCTGATGTAGTATTACCTCAGGTTATTCTTCATGGTTGATACGTTGGTTGGAATGTTGGAAACAGAAAAAATAAAACAACCACAAATTATCTTCAATTCTTATTTTTACATCATTACAATCATTTTCATCATATATATTTTTTTATATAATTTTATCTTTACTTGATACATACACACAGAGTCTGCATACATATATACATATACATACAGTACATGTGCACATACATACACATATATGTAGGTATACATACTGCATACACACACATAAGTGTATATACTGTATGTTGTTTTTGTTTGTTTTTTTAAGAAAAAAAATCTCATTATTGCAATTTTTAAACTGTAAACAATAGTGCGTTGAACAAACGGGTGAAAATGTTTCAGAGGAGGAACTCTGTCTGACTCTGCAGCGCCATCTCTGCCTCTGTGTGATGACCGACCACGTCATGTCCATCTCTTTAAGGCCCATCATAAAGTACATTCTATTCCCTGCGACGTGTACTTGTACACCACACTGCAGTAAAGCCACTTATTGCTCTCTTCAGCGTCAACGTTATGAATTAAAGGTACGGCTTCTTTAAAGTGCATGTTGTCCTGTGTGTGTGTGATTGTGTGTATCTGTGTGTGTAGAACCAGAGAAGCTGAATTAGAGATGAAGTAAAGCAGACACGAGGGGTCTCTGGGGGAGAGGTGGGGGGTGGGGGAGTGAAGTGATGACACTACACAGTCATTACGTTGATGATTGTGCGTCTGTCATTCGTTGATTACAGCCTTCTATAAATGCATGTCCATAATGCCAGGAGGGGGCGACGCTGAGAATAAAGAGGGAAACATAATTAGTGCTCGTTCAAAGTGTTTCTAATCATGGTTCTCCAAGCCGACGACGGTCGTCAGACTGTGTTTACCATCACGGCGCACTACAGCGCGATGGTTGATGACATGAATATGTACCTGACATCGCCACCTGACATTCAGTGGAGACGCAGACGGAGAGTTGTGTTGATGCACACGAACGAAAACACGGCTGACGAGTTTGAAGAAGAAAACAAAAAGCAAAAAGCCTCTGCGTGGCCCCGCGCCAGAGGTTTGTCAGCAGCTGCTTCTTAGAGATTGCATTGGATTGGCTCTTATTTTGAAAATCTGACATAAGCTGCGTGAAATTACTTTGAAGAATCACTTTGGTGTCACCTTCTCTGCTGTCAGTCACCTGGTTATTTGGAACACTTTTGACACTCAACACTTTTCCTAGGAACCCTATCACAATGCCATTCTAGACCATTGTTTCCCAAAGACTGGGTCGTGACCCTCATCTGGGAAGCAAGAGATTTATTTCTGGGTCGTCTCGCATCATGTTTCAGCAGGGTCAACAGAAAAAAAAGTTTGGGAAACACTGATCTAGACCTTACAATAGATCATAGTGGCTAGCACGCCTGCCTCAGAAGCAGAGAGTCCTGGGTTCGATTCCCAAAGGAACCACATACCTAGTGTCTGCCAGGGGCAGATCTGCCGTTAACACAAGACTCTTCCAGTCTCTAACTCCGGTTTGGATTCATCAGGAAGGTGATCTGGTTAAAAACCAAAGCAGTTCCATAGAAGGGAACTGGACTGGGTTGGTTCTACGGCAGAGTCCAGTTGCCCTCCACCGAACTGCTCCAGATAAGATGACCTTGACGACTGAGACCCTGCAGAGACACTGGTGTAGGAACTCTGCCTTATCACCATGCAGACCACATTTGTGGTCGACAGACGGGCCTGACGTCAGTCAATAATAAAAGTGTTTTAATTTCAGCTTGTTGAAGCCACTTTGGGGTCGCAGCATTTACTCTGCAGCTACTGTCACCTTTGGATGAAGAAAAGTTTTTTGGATGTTGTTACAGATAAACATTCAGTGCACAAAAAAGAAAGAAAGAAAATCTCCTGATCTTGTACCAGACAGCATCGACACACAGACTTTGACATTGAATAAAGCTCGAACCAAGGAGGCTGAGAGTGATACAGTAAAAGTCAGGAAGGTCATGAAGTACTAGAGTATTCAAAACACAGCCTCTGGAGCCGACCCAAGCTGACATCAGCAGAGTCAGGAAACACACTGGACACACTGGTCAGCACTCGGACTCAAACACCCACAGGGTAAATGTAGGTCTTGTCTTTCCAACCCCGGTCTGTGGATTAAACATTTCTAGTTTCTTCCTTACCAAATATATGACATCAAAAATATAGTTAGGTACTCCATTCAGATTTGAAGTACTGCAGAAAACCCGTGTTTACTTTCTGTCACTTTCTCTTGTTACTCTGCAGGTGAAAACAAAATTGTTTTAGAGCAAATGTTTGTGAGAATATAATTAAAAATAAAGACAAACGCACCGACACGTAAAAACCTTGTCAAATGTTTGCAGATTAAAGGGAGACAAACGACATCCGATCAGCAGTAACAGCTGGTCGGATGTCGGTTGGACACTTTTCACATGATGCCCTTTTAGTATAATTAGTATTTTTTAATTCCACTGATGAATGGCTTATTTTTCATACCATAAGTTGCAGCGGGAGTTTCCTAAAAAAAAAAAATTGAACTCCAGAGCGCCTCCTTCTGACCAGCTGTGTCTGCAATTAACACTGATCATGGATAAGAACATTATTCCACAATCTCTTTCTGCGACGTTATGGCTTCGGTATAGGTTAAAGCACATATATAAAAACAATAACGTTAATAACATTATTAGATTAGTGAAGATTAATAATAAAATATAATTATAATGACATCTTTATCAGTGGGCCCCACATTACTGGTCACGGGCAAATTCTGGCCCACAAGCCGCCTGTTTTTAACCACCAGCTCACGCAGCTCTCCTCCCGTCTGTGGCTGCCGTTTACAGCCTTCATTTGAAAAGCCTATTAAAAGTGATGCTGCACATAAACAGGTTTTAATGGAACAGTAAACGCAGCAGGTGCAGATGGAGAGACGAGGCCACCTGTCACCGCGTCCTGACAGGAAACAAACACGTCTGTTTGTTTCTTTGACCTCTCTGGCCTTTTTACGACACGTTCCCGCCGCCGCCAACCCCGCTCTCTGTACAACCCGCTGACTCAGTGGAGGAGAAATCGAATCTGTTTGTGACGGGGAAATGGGAAGCCGTGAGGTCTGACCCTCAATCTCGGAGCTGAAATCGTCCCATTCAGACGCAGGAGGCGGGAGAGGGGATTAAACTGTCTGGACTCCGGCGCAGGTACGAGTCTTGATTTTCACGTTCACGTGCACATACAAAATACCCTTCTTCAACTTGCCCCGCTGACCATGACAGACCATTTCACGATTTCCTGAGCTGTAACGCGAACCTTGCGAATGTAAGAGGATCAGGGAGGGATTGAATGGTCACTAATACCTTAAAAAGAACCTGAAGGTGGAACGTTTACTCACCGAGGCTTTTTCACCGTCTCTGTCAAGAATAACCAACCAAGATATAAATGATGTGGACCTAGAAAAACTGTACTGTCCAATGAGAACACACCGAGGTGACGAGGTGTTTGTTTGTTTGGTTTTTTTTAACACACACTCTGTCCAGTTATATAGAGTGTATCCACAACATGGTGCCGACTACAGAACAGTGTGCGTTCATCAAAGCAAATGACTTCAGTCGTAGCTTAGCTTAGCTTAGCCTTAGACATCCCCTTTCTTTATATTAGAGTTTGGATTTTTTTTCCTGTTTCCTGTCGTTCTTCACTGTTTTGCGTGTTGATGTTTAAATGAGAACTTTAACCTTAAAGGGTTTATCATTAGAAGAAAATAAAGCCCACATTTCATTTTACACATTTATACTGCATAGAGTTTTTTGGGTTTTTTTTTTTTTTTGCAAAGACGCACCTTCAGTTAGTTAGTCAGGGCGTGCAGATGGATTTCTGTGTCAACAGTCTAACCAACACTAATGCATTTAAATAAAAATAAACTAAAGTAAAGAATTTCACCGAAAACCTGTGTGAGAATAAGAGTGGAGTCGCACACGACCGTGTAGAACACAGTCGGATCTGATCAAAATCTTGGACTTGAGCACCAGCTGCAGCGTGAAGATAGTTTGAGGAAGCGACTAAAACAACTCCAACGCATTACTGCTAAAAAAAAAAAAGGTCGACACATAACGAAATGTGACATAACGTCATCATCGGACGACCTAGGCTGACGTCTGTGCTACATCACTTCCTGTCCCCACGGTCGTTCCCCTCCACGTGGGAGAGACTAAAAATGACTTTTTATATTTTACAGCAACGTCGTCCACAGCTGCAGGAGCATGAGTTTATGTCTGATACCAACACAGCTGTGGTTCTTCTTCACAGTGACTTCAATCTGACAGCTTCAACCAAACGACCACAACAAGAGCAGAGAACGCTACAATAGAACGCCATAAAATTGATATCAGTAGCCCTGAAACAAAAATGTTTGAAAGACAAAAAAATATATAAAAACATAATGTATAAAATAAGGCCAAATATTTTCCTGTAGCTAAATGTTTGATTTAATATCCAGTTATTTCTGGACACGGAAGGAAAAATCCATCGTCAGCTAGGGCGACCAGGTGTCCCCGTGTGTGTGTGTGTGTGAGGAGACTGCACTTCATTTGGACAGTTTTTGGGTCGTGATGCAAATTTGAACCTCAATTCGGACGAGTTTGAAATGTTCAGAATCTTTACAGAGAAAAAAGAGAAAATCCAGAATTTAAAAATAAAAACAAAAGAAGAGAAAGTGCAGCTTCAGCCTGTGAAGGACCAGACTGGTCGGAGTCACTGCTGGGGCAAATAAGAAATGAATATCATTGTGTTGAAGGCCGTTGTTTCCCAAAGATTGGGATTTTTTTTTTTTTTTTTGGGGTCGTCTCGGACCGTGTTTCCCTGGAGTTTACGAATAATGTCCATTGACTTGGGTCATGAAGGTTTGTGACTTTTTAAAATATGGGTCCCCAGAAAAACAAATGTTTGGGAAACACTGATCTAGGCTACTCAACATTTTAATGATTGCAACCTGGTCACCCTCACATCGGACAAAAGTATGATATTAGAGAATTTGGTCAAAAAAAATGAAACAAGATTAAAAAGAAAGGAAACAAAAAAACAAACAAGTGACGTGAAATTAAAAACAGCATTTGGTGAAACAGTCCAGACTTTTGGTTATGCATAGTTCTTTCCTGGATGTCCGTCATAGAAACTTCGCCAACTCCGAGCTCCTGACTTTAAAAAAATAAAGAGCGATGAGGATCGGATATTAAACTAATGGCTCTTTGTTTTATTTTTTCAGGCTTTTTTTTTCCTTTTCACTGTCAGCGTTTGCAGTTTAGGCTTCTTTGGTTTTGGAACCAAAGAGATATTACGAGAGCAGAGCAGCTAAAGCCCCCCCTCCCCTCCCCTCTCCCCCTGCTCTGACCGGCGGAGGTTAGCGAGCGGCCCGATCCCTCCCGTCCGCTCTGCCGGGGTTTAAGGCAGAAAGGGTTCGTCCTCGTCCTCGTCGGCGCTGGGACCCGGGTCGCTGAGGCACCTCATCAACTTCTGTTCCCTGCCCGTGTCTCCCTCGCCCTGGCGGCTCGGTCCGTCGGCAGGACTCATCACGAGGCCCTGGTCCTCCTCCTCCACCTCCCGCTTGGCCTGTTTGAACTCGCTCATTATATCCACGGAGTCTGGAGACTGAGGAGACGCCAGGTCCACCTGAATGGTCGGCAGCGGTCCAGACGGCGGCTTCACACTGTAGGCCTGGGGGTCTGTGGAGGAAGGGAGGGAGGGACAGTGGGGGGGGTGAGGGGCTGAGGTCTGATATGTGGTTTTAAACACGAAGGACTAACCGTTTATCGTTCCATTGTCGTGCAGGGACAAACGAGGGAGAGTCAAAAAGTCCTCAGACAGACGTGTAACTTCCTGCAGGTGACTGATGGTAATGACTGGTTCAGACTGGTCTCTGTGACTCCAACAGCTTCGACCAGATTTTATCATTATGTCAAGCGTCACATTTAAAAAAAAAAAAAAAAACCTGTTCAAATGACTGAACCAATCAATTCGTTTTGCTTGGAAATCACTACTTTCTTTTCGCCCCTGTTTGTCTTAGAACTTTTTGACTTACCCAGTGGAGAAGGTCAACACAAACTAAACACGAGCAGGCTTTGGGACGACCTTAATGGATGTATATCATGAGAAAAAAAATTATATTTTCACATCTTTGATACAGCACATGCTACAGTATATTAATCAGCTTGTGTGGTTTTTTTGTCGTGTGGTTGTACGAGGTACTGACACCCAGTCGGCACCGCCACCAGGGGTCGGCCTACACTACTTAACCGGAGTTAACAGAACCAAGTAATTTGTAAACACAGTTGAATTTTCTTCATCATCATTTTAAAATAAACTACTCTAAACATTGATTTTTAATTTAATATTAATTTTTTATGCATAACAACTGTCATATATGTCACTATAGCAACTAAAGGCAGAGATCATGTGATTAATCAGGAGTTAAAATTGTGATTCATTCCTCAGGAGTAAAATTACTACCAAAAAAAGTCGAATTAACCAAGTTCAAAACCTGAATGCAGTACTTCTGAAAACCTGTAGGGGTCACTGTTTGCACTTGAACGTCGTCATCCTTGGCTAATTATGTGAATCCCATCATCAAGTTCATTGTCAGCTTCATACATAACCACACTTAGAAAACCCTCAAAAAAGTAAAAAAAAAAAAAAAAAAATCGTATGAACTAAAACTTAAATAAAAAAATGTATAAAATCAAAGTAAGGAAAGTGAGGACGTTGACATGTGACATGCTTCAGTTCCATGATATATTTTTTCATATATAGGGCTGGGCGATAAGAGTTTTTACTTCTTCTTTACTTCGTTAAAGATAAATATGGAGATGTGATTTTTGAAGCGTATCGTCCAGCCCTATTCGTCTGTTTTCCCTCATCTGTTCTTTAAGTCATGACACGACACCTGATTGAAGTCATGAATTATAAATTAATACAGGGGGTGGGGGGTAACCAGGGCATGCGTGTTAGCATCGCTGCAGGATATTTACAACTCAGTACGAGTTGTTTTTTTTATTTATTTTTGTTGTTACTTCACTCACGACGTACCTTTACAGGTTCTGCTCTCTTTCTGCTGCAGAGCAGGTTTGAAATCAGTATTTCTCCCTAAAATGAAACCACACACTGGTTTACACGCCGGCACGCACCAGCAAACATGTTTCTGTCAGTCAGGGAAACAGAACGGCAGCGTTTTCCTGTCTGCGTTTCTATCAGCGGCCGACGCCTTCGGGGACCCGTCGGATCTCTCCATTCATGTGGTGCCTGACAGCAAAAAACGGTGCCTGACACTGAGTGCTGGCATTTGGCAGAGGTGGAGACGGATGTGTTTACCTGAAGCCAGTCTGGCTCTGCACATGGTCGGGGAGTCGGGAGGAGCAGCAGGAACCGTCAGGTAGTTGTTCATCTCCTTTATCTGGGAAAACACCAGCAGAGAGAAAATCATCAACAGATACTTGTAAACCAAAGTCAGACACATAAATACATATTTACATATATACATATAAATATACACACATATATTAGCGACGTAAGCAATAATATCGGTCGGACGATTTTAGCATATTTATGCAATATCTGTAAGAAACGGCTGCATATTCCGATATCGGTTGATATCGGAATCAGAAATTAAGTGTTTGGACAGTAGATATATATATATATGTGTAACAGGTTTTACTCTATGTAGCAAAGCTTGTACTGCAGTTCTTTGGCAGATACTTGATTAAAAAAAAACTTAACAAATGTCTGTTGTTAAAGTCGAATGAAGTTGCTTTCAAGAGAAGAAGAAAAGAAGCCAAGAAAAAAAAAACTTTTTTTTTTTTCTTTTGTAGTATATCAATAACCACTAGGATCTTTTTTTGGTACAAAGTTGTTCTTGCTTTTAAATTATTTTTTTTTGTTTTACTACCAACACATTCAGAATTTTGAATTGTTATAAAATGACAGTGTTCTTTTTTTTCCTGCCTGACTCCAGCAGACTGGACCACAGTCACGATCATCCATCGGCTTCCTAACGATCAATAAGTCAAGAACTCTTCTCTCATTTTTTTGTAGAAACCGCCTCAAGTGCGGCGGCCCTTTTAGCACCACCGATTTACAATCAAAGCAGAGTCTCTTTCCATTATGTAATTAGAGCGTAATGAAAATGAGAGTTTGTAGCAGAGCCACTCACCCAGGACAATAAATCAGGCCCCGATTTATGTCCTGAAAAAAGGGATGGAGGGACTGGAGGTGGACTCTAATTACCTCACACATCATAAGTCTGGATGAGTCATTTAGCCGAGCTGCGGGGCTCATTTGGAGACGAGAAGAGCTTCACTTCATCTGCTCCGTGTCTCTCTGGCCTTTACACACACAGACCACGAAAACTGAAACAAACTAAGTCACTGACTAACCCCCTAACTGCTCAAAACTAACTCCTGTTGGTTGGTTCAGGATGTATGACGTCATCTGAGCAATGATAACTGTATTTGTTCTGTATTGAATAAATGCATCTGCCTGGAAATCAACTCTTGATTCACTACTGCCACCTAGTGGATGTATTGTTTGCTCTCGGCTCCACAGAAGCTCAGGTACAAGAAAAAAAAGAAAGAAAAAGACACAGATCACAACAAACACCAGGAAAATGCGTGTTTTCTGTTTGAATGAAGTGAAATATTCAAAATATTTATAATTAAATATAAACGCAGTAAAATGTACGTGTGTATATGCAGTATATGCAGAGTGTGTACTGCTGTTAAACTATATATATATTATACATATAGAGAAATAAAAGAGTCACTCTTCATTAATCTTCCCTCCTACGGATTTTGTTAAAGAGAGAACTGTGTCACCCCCTGGTGGCGGATTGCTATTTTTATCCTCCTTTGAAGGTTTAACTTTTTATCTCTGGAAGCTACAGATTTCACCTGCAATTTGTCTATTGCCATCCAGACTCGTTAGCATCTTCACAGCTAACTGCTATTATTGTTTTGCTTCAACGTTGAAAAAACTATGTCATTAATCCTGGATCAAATATATTTAGAGATTATTACGTAACCGACCGTTTTCAGATTACATGACGACGACTGTTTGAACAAACCTTCTTCTCCAGCTCCACCATCTTCTGCTTCTTAATCAGCAGGTCACCGAAGCCGTCCTCGTACGGGTCGGCAATCAGAGTGTGACGGTTGTAGGAGCGCAGCTGAGGATCAAACACAAGGAAAGACAAAAGTGTAAGAACCAACTTTTTAAAAAACTCCAGGGAGTGTTTGTGGTTTGTTAGATAAAATCATGTTTTTTTAACTTTGTTATTAGTTTAATCATAATTTAATCTGAGGTTCTGCTCCGTCACCCTCTGTCGTGTCCTCTGAAGGTTACTGCGGAGAATCTTCCTGATCTCCTCCTCTCGGCCTTTAGGCAGCTGAGGCAGAGCTCGCTCCGCAGTCTTGGCAGGAGGAGGCTTTTTAGGCTGGATGTTTCTGAGTTGAGAGGAAAAAAGAAAAAGAAAAAAAAAAACAGCCCTATGAAAACTTGTCTTTTCTGTTAAAAATAATTTACAGACAAAACCGAAATTAACCGAAGATGAAAGATGAAATAATTCATCAGAAATAATCATATATTATTATATTATGATATTATATGTGTGATCAGTGAGTAAATCAGTCAAAAAGTCCTCAGACAAATGTGATGATTTCTGCAGGTTTCTGATGTTAATGACTAAAAACCGGTTCAGACCGGTCTCTGTGTCTCCAACCAGTTTTTACCTGGTGTCGAAAATTGAAAGAATTATTTGATGGAAAGATTTAGACTCATTATAACTCACATCAAATATGAATTATAATATATATTTATATATATAAAACACTGGGTTAAAAGTTAAAAAAACAAATAGAAGTGATTTTATTTTGTGTGCAGCCGAGTACAAAATGGTGCCTGGCCATGTTTTGGTCCCTGACCCAGTAGTTTGGGAAAGGAGTTTGAAAACTATTTAACTTCCTTATATTAAAGTCTTTGCTGGTGAGTTTCTTAACATGATTATTATTTAATTACACAGAGCAAATGTACAATATTATTACCTTGAATAAATAATAATCAATTGCACATGAATTATTATGTGATGTTGTGGGTGTTTAACACTCACTGCATGGAGACAGTGGAAGGCATGGCGCAGGGCAGCTTGACCCCCCCCCCACTCTCCACCAGCTCGATGGCCTGTTTCATCTCCATCTTGTGGTAGAAGGCGATGAGCTGCGGCTCCTTGGACCGTTCGCCCGCAATCAGGCACTTCTTCACGTACTTCTTGTTGA